GTTACGAGTTTTAGGTTCTGAAAACGGTCCGTTTAGGAACTAAAAACGGTCCGTTTACGGCACGTTAACTTACCGTTAACGACCAGTTAACGGGCCGTTAACGGTGCCGTTTTCTTGGACCTGGGTGGTTTTAACTCTGCGGCGAAACCGACCTTTGCATTAACGCTATTTAAAAATAACATTTATCTAAGACTTCTTTCTTGCCTGTTTCAGACGAATGTTCCGTAGATCTTGAAGCTGGGCTGATGTATGTTAAGGATGATATTCGTTCTTGTACAATGCAACGTTCGAAAGAAGAAGAGAAACTTGGGATTATATTGAAATATCATAAACATCAAAAAATTCACTATGTCGTCTTATTCGAAGAGCATAAAGAGACGTTAGCCTATCGAGCCGGCATCAAAAACTATGACCGCGTCATTGAGTACAATAAAGATAACGTTGAGTGTGACACTGAGGAAGAATATGCGAGCAGATACGATCAGAATCGTTTGATGCCATTGACATTACTAGTTTGTGATCCTGGTACATATGCTTACTACAAACGACAGCGAAAAACTATTAGTAGTGGTTTATCAACGGTAATATTTATGCCGCCAGTACTTGTTTCAAGTAAGAGAGTACTTCATTCTCAAAACTGGAATGTTGTTTTGTATTATTGAGAGCTTAGAATCTAGATTGCACACTCAAAGCTTACACCGATAAGAAACTCAGTTGTGTATTTTTGTCTATTTTGGATAATGAGAAAGTTTAAGATGAAATAACTTTTAAACAGAACTGCCGGTGAGCATGAATCTTATGCATTGACTATAGAGTTAATTCCTCATGAAGTTTCTATCTGGACTGGATTCGAGTTCCAAGTCCGTTTCAATAGGATTTCCACAAATCTTTTGATTTTTCTATCTGTTTAACGTCTGATCAGCATGAAGTGTAGGCTGACCATAACTCCGGCATGTAAAAACTCCGTTTTATGATTTCTTCTGATAAAAAAATCTCTAATGAATAAATATCGGGTGACCCAAATAAAATCGGACGCTTTTGTTTTAATTATAACTCTCGCTTTCTTGATGTTTCAATACCACTGTTTTTTTCCAGCAGATTCGTCTTGAAACTCCCTACCGAACTGCGTGTTCTATTACACAGACTAAAAGACTAGAGAAAATACAGCAAAAACTTCATACCCATCAACCTTCCCCTCGTCATTTTCAACAAAAAAAAGTTTCATTGAAGCACGTCTCTACGCATGAAGGTTTGATAACAAAATGTTCATTCTAGTACTCTCAAGCATTCTTTTACCTTCTGATGTATAATGCTTTAAAACTAATGTTCTGGAACAAAGCGGGTATTTTTGCTGAACTCCACCGGAACGTTGAAAAAATCGACATTTTCGACTTATCTCAGATCAGAAAGGTAGTTATTAAACATTTCTTATTTTTATACGAAAGATGCTTCAAAATGGATAAATAAAAACAGTGATCTTGTTTTTCTCTTGTTGCGTTATCACTTTATTTTCTTAAAAGATTTTTTTTACGTTTCTTGATGAAACGATTACAACAGAAAAATTTTTGACTACTATCTGTTCCAAAATACAAGCCAGGCGGTTGCTTTTTGAATAACTCCGGAACGGAAGCAGATAGAAACTTGCAATTTTCAGTTTTGAATAGCCAAGAACTGCACCCATCTTTCCACAAGCAGAAATGTTTTTTGACAGAAATTCAAAGACCGAATTTTGAGAAGATCTTTGGAAAATCAGTTTGGATATCTAAGAACTGACATAGAAATAGGTCGATCTTTCTTCAGATAGTCCAAAGTGTCCTCTCCAAAATGCAACTAAGCAAATTCTTCATTTTTTTCGGTTCAGGCGTGGTATCGGATTTTCTGAGAGTCCTAGGATCAATATTTCTTTAGGTGTGGCAATACCGAAAATAAATGCAAACACGGTTAATCGACCACACTAAATCTCGTGGCAAGATTTGTTTATCAAAGCACTATCAAAAATCTAGTGAAAACCTATATTACGTGAAATAACCTATTTTTGCCAATTTTGGAGTAAAAGTAAAAAATTCGTAACCCAGTCAAGATCCATCCAAATTACAAAGTACAACAATCTTTTTTACTATTTTCAAGTAAAAAAACATATAGAACAGTAGAATACAGTACATCTTGATATTCTGATGTAATTTGGATGGATCTTGACTGGGTTACGAATTTTTTACTTTTACTCCAAAATAGGCAAAAATGGGTTATTTCACGTAATATAGGTTTTCACTAGATGTTGCCACGAGATTTAGTGTGGTCGATTAACCGTGTTTGCATTTATTTTCGGTATTGCCACACCTAAAGAAATATTGATCCTAGGACTCTCAGAAAATCCGATACCACGCCTGAACCGAAAAAAATGAAGAATTTGCTTAGTTGCATTTTGGAGAGGACACTTTGGACTATCTGAAGAAAGATCGACCTATTTCTATGTCAGTTCATAGATATCCAAACTGGTTTTCCAAAGATCTTCTCAAAATTCGGTCTTTGAATTTCTTTCAAAAAACATTTCTGCTTGTGGAAACCGCCTGTCTTGTATTTTGGAACGGATAGTAATTCGAGATCGATCATTTGTGCATTTCGAAGAACACTTTTTTCTTGGAAATTAGTGTTGCTCAGCAACTCACGACGTTTTATTCAAATGAAATCCCAAAAGAAAGTAATGGACAGAGTTATTTGTCCATTACACGATTTCACGCTCTGGTTTCTTGATGGAAAAGTTATTAGTTGATAATATACGAAATGACGAAGGACTCACAAGGGGGTGCTGATTTCGAATTATGACGGCAGTAAGGCAGTTAGAGAATAGGATCGATGTGTGGCAGAAAAACAAGCTCTAATAATATGAGTATGATGACTTCTGGCTGTTGCTGGATAGCCGTGCGACAATTCTAAAGTAAGCATACTCCCATCTCAAAACCGGAGTTGATCATACGCCGGCTCTAGTTTATTCTTATTGAGTGTCGGATGCCTTTTTGGCTAGATTCTTCACTTAGGATGTTTTATTTGATTTGTAGCGATCGCTGTGATCTACTGTACCTGTTGAATTGATGAGTCGCAGCATGTACAAGCTATAGCTTTTCGAATGCAAAAAACTAATATTGTTATCATATGAAATAGTCAACATATTTTTCTCCGAAATTAAACCTGATGTTTGCTTGTGATTAGTGTACGTATATATCAGAGAAACCTTTCGCTGACAATTTTATTGAGAAAAGAAGTAACCGAACATAAGTAGAGCGTAGAGTATTCCAAGGTGCTCAATGAATAGCAAAATAAACGTACGTTGTTGTAACTTTGCAACCATTTATTTCTAAGTAGGTAAAAATAGTCATAATTCACGTAGCGACTCTGGAGCAACCAGGACATCAGCGCCGATAGATTCGTCGACTCGACAAAACGAAGACGTAGTAATTAAGAAAGAAGGTGTGTTTTGTGCTTCAATCTACGACGTGCATTTCAAAAGAGTTTGCCCATTCGAAATAATAAACTTTTACGCTGATGAATGAAATATCATCTACCATATTTTGTCTTGAAATTCTCTACAAAATAACTGTAGTGCTCGACTGCAGGTGTACAAAAAAAATCAGCACCGTTGTGTACAGGGTGGTTCAAAACGACTTATCCCCCTCTGTATTTATTGGCTTTCTTCTGTACAAATACAATTGAATTTTTTCCATTAGTTTAATCGAGTGGAGGCAAGATTTCTGGACAAAATGAAACGTCTGCGAGCTCTCTAAGACCTTGTCTCATGAAACAGCATTCAATTTACGGAAGGCTCTAATATCATATTCTTGTTTTTTCGTTAATTTTGCGGGTTTTCGCGGTATGGGCTCTTCCGTAAATTGAAGGCTGTTTTATCAGTAAAGGTCTCAGAGAGCTCGAAGGCGTCTCGTTTTGTCCAGAACTCTTTGCTCTACTCGACTAAACTAATGAGAAAAGGTTCAATTATATTTGTATAGAAGAAAGCCAAGAAATACAGGGCGGGTAAGTTTTTTTGGGCCATTCTATATCCGTGCCAAACAACAAACATTATTCCATACGGATACGTATTGCACAAGAACCGGTACAATTTTTTTGTAGGGTTCTCCACGTGATTTCAGATTCGAAAGAATTTATTAAAATTTTAAAGCAGCGGAGTTCTTGAGAACCGATATCCGATTGAGAACGTCCTTATGGTCAATATTTTCCACGTGGACCCGAGTGTAATAAACTCTCTTAGTCTCTACCATTTATCACGATTAGCCTTATGAATTGAAGAAGGCATTTTTTTCAACAAGAGTATAGTAGCAGTTTCAAGAGCTGAAACAGCGGAGATGTCAAAATATTTCAACAATAATTTATTTACCAAATAGCGAAACGAAGTGTACCCTTCGAAAACATCAATTTCTTATCGATTTTGTAGAGCAAATATCGTTTTCTGTCATTTGTTCAAACTCTCTTAGTAGCTTGGTTATATAGCAACTTGAATAATTTCTTTTAGATGGCAATACTGCTGATGAAATCGACGATAAAGTAAATAAAATCGTTCGTGCAGTATTGTGAAAAATAATCAATCAAAACAACTTAGATTCTGTTGATGCTCATCGAACATCTTGTGATGGTTGCGGAGCTGTGCGATTTACCACCGATCGTTACAAATGTTTGCAGTGCACAAATTATGATTTATGCGCAAGATGCTTTGAGAGACGACGAGAAACAAAAAATCATCTGAGTGGCCATCCCGTTGTTCAATTTCGAACTCCAAATGAAGTATTAGGGAGAGAATTAAGGAATAATGATCTAACATTGACGAATTTGAAAGTTTTATTTCAACTGGAAAAACACGAGAATATTTCCTGTGATGGTTGTCTTCTTGATCCAATCGTGGGACTTCGTTTCAAATGCGACACATGTCCAAACTATGATTTATGTCATCAATGCATGACAAATTCAGCCACAACAAACAGCCATAAATCAGATCATCCACTTGTTGTGGTCCCAAAGCATCGTATACCCGTCATCCCGCGTGACGATATTGAACTTGGGGATGCATTAGGAAAAGGAGCGTTTGGTAAGATTGTATGGTATATCTGTTATGACTTCAAATATTATTTTTTGTCCGATGTAGGTACTGTCTACAAAGCGACCTGGTTATCTAAAAATCGTGTGGTTGCCTGTAAAGTGATCACCGCACCTGCTAATCTCTCAGAAGGTTTATTCAAGAGTTTTCTGAAAGAACTAGCAGCGTATACTGAACTGTCCGGAGCGTATATTCTTAAAACATATGGTTACACTCAAACAGAGTTGGCAGATGGAGTAAACGAATATCGACTTATTATGGAGTTCATGGAAAAAGGTAGTTTACAGTCGTTGATTGAGAAACCTGACTATGGAATATCGCTTCGTCGAAAACTAGATATGGCCTGTAATATTGCTAGTGGAATGAGAAAAATTCATGAACACAATATGATACATCGTGACATACGACCAGATAATATTCTAGTTAACAATAATTTCATAGCTAAAATTGGTGATATGGGAATTGCGAGAACAGTGGATGAAAATAATCGACATACACAAATTGGCTGTCAGGTATTTATGCCATTAGAATTCTATAAGGTTGATCAAAATAAAGCTGTTTATGATCAAAAATTAGATATATACACGTTTGGACTGACGTTAAATGCGTTATTCACAGATACAAAACATGGTTTTCACCCTCTCACCAGACAAAAACTTGTGATCAAACAAAGTCCAGTCTTCTGGGATCTCATAAGTCGCTGTACCGATGACTATCCTGAGCAACGACCAACAGCGCTTGAGATGGAAAAAACATTAGAACTGTACAATGTCGCTTTCCAACAACTAGTACTTCAAAAGGAACTGACCTATATTGACTTGTCATCTGAGGACAAAAATAAAAGATTCATGGAATTTTATGAAGTTTTCCATCCGAAAGCCAGTGAGTATCTTGAAAAGAAATTTCCCAGAGTTGTTTGGGAAAATAACGCTACCAATAAATTTACGTTGGTTAATACCAATCCTGATGAAAAATCCAACATTTGTTTTGTACAATAAAGTGTCTTGCTATAGAAGTGAGATTCTTCCTCTAATGGTGATTTAACTGACGATGAAAACTCCTTCCATCATTAGTTTGCTTTAGATTGATGTTACAACATAAATTTGAACTGTGATAAATTTCATATTTATTGAAAAATCATTGAATTCGATTTTAAGTTTTAAAAAATAAACAAATCAAATGCAGTATCACAGGCAGCGTATCATAGTTTTGGAGGCACATTTCCATGTGCTTAACGAGCATTATGGAACCAAGACGCTACGGCCTACGCTCACATTCTAAAAAATTTTGATATAAACTCGTTTAAGAGTCTCTCATCTTTTCCAGTCGCTCCTGAACAAATTGCGAGGTCGTAATCCGAACATACGATCATTTACAGATCAGTCCATGGTCTTGAAAGTTTGAGTCCAGTCCGAGTCCATGAGCTCGAAAATTTTCAGCACAGTCCACCGATACGGAGATCTGGTAGAACCGCAACATCTTATTTAAATAAAAAGAGAATTGTGCAGAAGTTTTCATCGGAGCAAAGTTTCGACATTCTTCGCACATATGTTTGTATACGTACGATACTTATTCTTGCACATGTTTTTTCCTATCGTTTTTTTTCTAGACAAAAAAAACGATCGGCTCCAGCGAACTTTTTCAGTTTGCTGATAGTGTGCCGCTAATGCCGTACAATGTTTGAGACAATCTTATCGTTTAGCCCATCACTGTCAAGGGAGTCTCTCCAAGTAATATATCTCTTCTTTCATGAAACACAGTATTTTTATGGGTTGTCTCTAATGCTAGTCCCAGATCAGACGTTCGTTCCTACCCAAGTATGATGGAGATTCAACGACAACGCCAGGAGATGACGACGGAGACACAACAACATCACCATCGTATGATGAATACGATACAGACACACCGTCAACAGACTCAGACTACGATCCGACAGATT